TCAGGACAAAAGGCGATCTGGGGAGCTTGGAACTGCTGAGAACGTGGCGTGTTCAACAGATTGTTGCGTCTGTGTGTCCTCTCATAATCCATGGAGATGATCTCAGGCCAATTACCGGAAAACTCCAACCAAAATGAGCAAGGCAAGGCAGCCCAGAACAGAAGGATCTACACAAGAGCCAGGGTGGGAGACAAGAGCCCTGCAAGTTTGGCACTTAGCTAGAAGTCTTGTAAAGTCGGAAGCGGGTTCCCCGCTACCAGTAAGAAACATGGGTGAGGGTTGAGGCTTGGACTTTCGCTACACCAAGAATCGACCAAGGAATATCGGTCGCTGGGGAGGCTGAAGACAATCCCTCGAATCGGTCAATGTGTCCGTCAATGGATGGCGATATGGAGAAGTGTCATTTGACCGTCATTCTATCCATATCGCACATGATCACCACATTAAATGAGCAAATTTCCGTCCGTCATTTGAAGATCCTACCCTTTGTCCCCGCCCCAACATCTTCGCCTGGCAATCCTCCCATCCGAAACTTCCAACCCCCTGTAATCACACGTTTAAGTATTCGTCTAGGTGCATCAATTGTGGCAAGGACGAACCCTGCTCGGCAATGCATCTCCTTTGACAAAAAAAACCCATGTTTGCCGTTGGCTGGATAGCTGCTTCGTCCACGCCGTCCAAACATCCACTGGGGCGGGATGTGTATCACCCATTGACAACGTGCAGCCGGGAGGACGCCGCTCCCGATGGGCCAGGCTATCGCCGCCGCTGCTGGGCTGAGTTCCTGTTCGTCAAAGACTAGAGGGTTCGCTAAGAGAAATGGCCCATTGTTGACCTCGATAGAGTCGGCCTCGAACACATGGGACTAACCACGCTCTTCTCCACGACCCTTTCTGTGCACGTTTTTCTCTTTCTCTCTCTCTCTCTTTTCCCTCTCTCCCTCTCTCTTCCTTCTTCAGCCTTGTAAAAGGTCATTTCTCTGATTCCTCATCCCAGCTCTTGTTTCCCAATCAAGACCTGTCCCACGATATATCTTTTCCCCAAACTAACCTTTGGGAAATATACCTACCATGTCCGACCACAGCGAAGCTTACGAACTGCATAAAGTGGACAAAGATGTGCAGTTGACGGTCAATCGTTTTGCAAACCATAAAACCAGTGATCATGCGGAATCAGGTTATGGCGCAGCCTCGAACGTGGGCGGAAATGGACAAACGATCGAGAGCGTGACAAGAGTTCGGAGGTTGTTCAGCTTCTCTCAGATCTTTGCCTTTTCTTTGACCTTTATGAGCACGTGGGAAGGAATGAATACGTGAGTGTCCTCGTATAAGCAGATTAATCGCGTGGGTAAAAGCTGACCAGCGACAGGAATATGTTTTTTGCTCTTTACAACGGAGGTCCGCAGACGTTTGCCTGGAGCGTCGTGATTGTCTATTTTGGGGCCATCGCACAAGCAGCATCCATCGCCGAGATGGCATCAACAATTCCTATTGCAGGCGCCCAGTACCACTGGACATACAACCTCGCGCCGTCGAACATGAAAAGATTCATCACCTGGATGCAGGGCTGGATGACGTGGTTTGGATGGGTTTCTTTGCTCGCCGGCATCGCAAATATTACCGCCATCATTCTGCAGCAGTTGGCGATGCTCAATCATCCCAGCTACGTCCCCGAGACCTGGCACATCACGCTGATCATGATCGCCATCCTGCTTGTCCAGGGTCTGATCAATTCTTTTGGCACGACCTTTGCTGTGGTGCCCTGGCTTGAGCTTGTGGCGGGAATATTGCACGTCTGTCTGTTTGTCCTGTTTCTGGTTGTGTTGGTTGTCATGGGCAGCCGCCACAGCGCCGAGTTCATCTTCTTGGAACGGTCCATATCCTCAGGCTGGACGGACACGTATATTGCGTGGAATCTGGGTATGCTCACCTGTGCGTGGAGTTTCACTGGATTTGACGACTCGTGCCATCTCAGTGAGGAAACAAAGAAGGCTCCTCAGGCGGTGCCACGAGCAACATTCTGGTCGATCGCCTTGAACGGTGTCCTTGCATACGCCATGGTGATTGCCATCCTCAGTGCCATGGGACCCATCGACGAAGTGCTCAACTCTGGTTTCCCCATCATCACCATCCTCCTCCGCGTTACTGGATCTGTCAAAGCGACCACCGCGATGGTCTGCGGACTTTTTGTCATTTCGTTCTGTGTCAACATTGCGTCCATCGCCTCGGTGTCGCGACTGACTTGGGCTTGGTCCCGGGATGGTGGCTTACCCCGATGGTTTGCGCTTGTGGACTCGACCCACCACGTGCCAATACGATCGATCTGGCTCTCGCTTGTCGTTGTCATGCTGCTGTCGCTCCTCAACATCGGCTCCACAACCGCCTTTGGAGCCATCACGGCACTGTCCTCGCTAGCATTATACTTTTCGTACGGCACTGCCATATCAGCAATGTTGTTGGCGCGGTGGACATCGTCGCACGGAGGCAAACCTCTAGAGCTGGGCGGATGGAACTTGGGCCGGTACGGAGTCTACATCAACAGCTTCGCGCTCGTCTACACGCTGTACATCATGGTGTTCCTGCCGATTCCGAGCACGCTACCCGTGACGGCCTCGAACATGAACTACGCGGGACCCATCTTCCTGTTTGTGTTTTTCTTCGCCATCGCCTTGTGGTTCCTGCGCGCGCGGAAGCACTGGCCCGGTCCGAACGTCGCCGTCATCGATTTTGTCAAGGCGCAGGAATGAACATGTTAGTAAGGGCGGGGAGGAGAGAGGTCGTGCGGATTTCCGCTAGCGGTCTGTTATGTCCCCTCCAGCCACTGGCTGTGTATATGAAACGGCGAGATGTATATACCTAGATAGCCAACGTCGATCCCCAGATCTTTGACCAAATTCTACCTGTGCAGAAATCTATACACAGACATCCGCTGCGATATTAACGTCGGTTTTTTGGGGGAGAAAAAGCCGAGTCCGTATAAAACTCGGATGACCTTGGTCATTTGTGTTCCACGCAACTCGGTACTCGTAGGTAGATGGCTCTAAAGTCATTGAAGAGCCCTCGTTAATTTAAAGAACATTAAGGTGGGTGGACAAGGAGATTGCGAAAGTCTATTATCAGTGGCACCAGGTGGATTTGTCCATATGGCAAGCGCGCAAGGCGATTTAACCAAAAGAGGTTAGTGAGTTCTCGGCTCACTTTCCTTCTACCCAATAATTTTCGAATCGAAAATTATTTCATGTTTTTTTTCCCAAGCGCAGTGGAAACCCAGACGTCGGACCACCACACCAGCAATATCTCTCGAGTTCTAACCCTCTCTCACCGGCCTGTCGATCCCATATCCTCCGCCATGCCTCCGTCGAAGCGCAACAGAGTCGTCCCGACGTCCAAGGTGCGGAAAAACAGAAAAGAGCTGGTCCGCCGACTCGCTGCAAATGTGCAGGACGCCGCCGAAAAGTACTCGTACATCTGGGTGTTTGACGTCCAAAACACCCGCAACAACTTCCTGAAGCAGGTCAGAGCGGACTTTGGTGACTCGAGGATCATGATGGGGAAGACCAAGGTCTTGATGGTGGGACTGGGACAGACGGAGGAGACTGAGTGCGTGCCCGGGGTGCGTGCGCTGGCTCCGTATGTCAAGGGGGAGGTCGGGCTGCTCTTCACAGATCAAGAACCCGAGAAGATTGAAGAATATTTTGCAGATTGGTTGAATCAGGACTTTGCCAGGAGTGGCAACGTCGCCACCCGGGACGTCAGGATACCCCCCGGGGAGATTCATACTCAGTACGGCGTCGAAGGCGGTGAGGATGATCCCCTGCCCGTCCAGATCGAACCGACGCTTCGAAAACTAGGGATACCCACTCGTCTCGTCAAGGGCAAGGTCGTGTTGGAAGAGCACCCGGATGGGTCGATGGACGAGGAAGAGGGGTACCTTGTCTGCAAGGAGGGGGATACGCTCGACTCACGACAGACGTCCATCTTGAAGATCCTGGGTGTGCGCATGTCGGAGTTCAGAATCGGGTTGAGGGCAGTATTTGACAAGAGCACGTCGACGGTGCGGGAACTCGGGGCTATGGAGGTTGACGACACCAAGGTTTCGTGAGGCTCTCTGGACTTTGCTGCGACTTGACCAGGTTCTCACCAATTTGCATCTGGAGCGGCTCAGGATGCACTCACAAGATGCACTCTTGTACTCCTGTGCACCTGCGAACTACTGGATATCACACCTTTCGTCACCGAGAAGGCCAATCTAAATGTCGACTTGGCGAAGTCTTCGACCATCCAGGGAACTACCATTGCATGACTGATCCACTGGTTATCTTTGTAGATACTGCTCCCATGCTGCTGGCTGTCATCCAGCACGGACCTTCAAAATCTGGGTGTCGAGCTTCTGCGATATGTCGCCTGCACTTTGTCATCCGACAGACAACCGCAACCGCACACGTTCAAGACAATCGCCACTTAGCGGTGATGTGAAAATACATCCGATGCTCAACCTCTGCAAATATCATCTTCAGAACGAAGGAACTGTGTTCGGACTTTCGCGCAGGGTACAGCATTTGCCGATGCTTGTCAGCCTTGGCCAGGCTATATATCCCAGAACACTTGCCGAGGAAGCCACCCGCGTCACACCGCCAAGCAGTGACATTGTGCATGGGTCAGCATATCATTTCCCAAATTTGTCCATATTGGCGAATGGAGAGGGAGAGGGACCAGGGAAGATGCGGGGACGAATAGAGAGAAACCTGTATGTTTGTTTAAACCTGGACCATTTCTCCTCCCTGCCTGTGTCGGATTTGGACGTTGGAGCTTTCTGCTTTTCTACCTCGTCTCCGAGCAGCATAACAAACAGGCAAGGTCTTCAGTGTCTCCCTCCTCCTACAATTCAAAACAAGTGCCCCAAGATGGTGAACCTCACTCAAGTAAGTAATCGCTGGCATGTTCGTTGTGACTGCCTCAAGTAATCTAGACATTTGAATGAATGAACGAATGACAAGTACCATGTCGTCCGACCAGATCCAGCGCGATCTCATCTCGGCGAACCACATCTTGCATTTCACGTCGGTGCTCGACGCCTACGGGCACATTTCTGCGCGGCACCCGCTCGACGCGTCGACGTACCTCATGTCCGCCAACATAGCGCCCGCGCTGGTCAGCAACGCCAGCGACCTCGTGCAGTATCGCGTGAACGACTCGATGGCCGTCGACCCGGACGCGCCCAGGGGGTACATCGAGCGGTACATCCACGGGGAGATGTACAGGCGGTTTCCGGACGTCGGGTGCGTGATCCACAGCCACAGCGAGGACGTGCTGCCGTACGCCATCGCCGGAGTCCCGCTGCGCGCCGTGTACCACATGGCGGGCTTCCTCGGACCGGGGCCCGCCCCGCTGTACGACGTCGAGGAGTCCTACAACGCCACCGAGCCGCACGACCTGCTGATCCGCACGCCGAAGCTCGGCCAAGATCTGGCCAGGACGTTTGTCTCGGCGACAAACGCGTCCGCCACCACGCCCGATTACACCGTCGTGCTGATGCGGCGCCACGGCTTCACCACCGCCGCGGCCGATATCCAGACGGCGGTCTTCCAAGCCATCTTCACGCAGTCCAACGCCAAGGCGCAGACGACGGCGACGCTGCTCCGAGGCGCCTTTGCCGGCCTGCCGGGCGACGAGGCCAGAGCGTGGACCGGCGGCGGCGGTTCTGGCGGTAGCAACGGGGAGACAAGTGCCTTTGAGCCCCTGACCGCCCAGCAAGCGCGGGACTGCGAGGTTTCGATCGGTGCGACCTCGGACCGGCCGTGGGGGCTGTGGCTGAAGGAGGTTGAGAATGATAGCTTGTACACCAATAACGTGGTGCTGGAGTGATTCACGATGTAGCCTTTGTATATCTCGGTCGTTTAAATGGCTTGATCGACCACTGACTCTCTTATCGACCGCTCCCTCCCAATTTGAAATAGTCTGGTGTGCTACGGACAAGGGGAAAATTGTCGTCACTGGGTTCGAATTACGACACCACTACAATACTGTCACGGACAAGCCCGGGCTCCAGCCTTGAATCGGTTACTAGAAGAAGAAGAGAATGATGCTGGCCGAGGCAATACACTTGTCGCGGGAAGCAATTGCACTGGCGCCGAAGGGACGTAATGAATGTCCTACCCGAGGCTGAAAGTCAGGTTTAGACCGACAGCGAGGTCGCCGTGTTGTCTAAAGGCAGCCTCGTTGAGCATCTCACATAACATTAGGACGGTCCAGGTAGTCCCTCACGCGTTCCAAGCCTACGATGCAAGCGCGCTGTGCCTTCCCCTGCGGCTCATATTCTCTCCACTTGCATTCTCCAGCCTCCGTTTCGACGCTGTCCAGTGGCAAAAGCACTGTCTCAAGCGCATGGGGTTTCGTTCGATCAAATATCGATCGACCATGCATCGTTGGATCATGTGTCGTTGGATCATGTGTCGTTGGATCATGTGTCGTTGGACCATGTGTCGTTGGACCATGTGTCGTTGGATCATGTGTCGTTGGACCATGTGTCGTTGGATCATGTGTCGTTGGATCATGTGTCATTCGATCAAGTATATCGACAAAATATTTGGGACATATGGTGAACTCGCTCTCATCCCGAGTATTGGATGTGCTGGGCCGGTCTTCGTTCTTTTCAAGCCCAGGTGGGATAGGATACCACGTCAGCCTGGACAAAGCGAGACTCAACATCCAATCAGATTGACTCGGAACGAACAGATGCTCGCAATAGTTGCGCAAACATGCAACAGTGTCTGCCTTGAGTAGTGCCTGACTCTTCGGATGGAGGATCTGGAGGAAATCCTCCCCAGAAGGGAGGCTATCGTTGTTTGGCGCATATTCATCGAAGACCATTGCCGGTTGATTCTGCCACCTCAGGGCACTACTGATGAGCCATGCATAGTAGCGCACTAGTCGTGTCGCTTTATCTCGGTCGAGCGTTTGGTGACGCCTGGACGGACTGCCTCTGTTCGACTTCGGAAGCCGCAGCGTCGAGGCTTCGAGGTTTTCAAACCATGCCGAGTTGGCCAAGGTGATAAGAAGATGTCCGCTTTCACGAGTGCGGCTGTCATCCTCTTCAAGTAGCCAATTGACCTTCTCGCGGGTATTTAGTCCATACGCACGAAGTGAGCGATAGAGAATCCCGTCCATGTTATAACCACTGGTCGTCATAAGGTACTGCTTATATGAGTGCATGAATCCCCTCTTCCTACGCCATTGCCGCAGGTAGCTTAGAAAATCTTCCTCGTTCTCGAATGGGAGAGATCCCCGCGCCTTCTTCCTATCGAGGCTGATCTGGATGTGCCGTAAGAGCTGCTCTCCCGCAATGATGATTCCATTGGAAACATCGACAAGGCGCTCGTCATCTTCGTCGACTTGCGGGAGTCCTTCCTGCGGCTTGTAGATCAGTTCGTGGTGCATCTTCGACCAGGTATGCATAAGCAGCGACATGAGCTGAATCTCCAGCACCCTATCTTTCACAGCCGATTGGCCATCATCATCATCATCTTTCGGCTTCAGCTGAACTCGGTAATGACGAGCAAAGTATCCTAAGAATCTGCTTTTGCGTCCAGAGATGTCGGTTCGTGCAGAAGGGTCTGCGTCAAGACTCGGATAGCGATGTGGTCCAAATTCCGAGTCCGGCCAGTCCTGGACCGCCTTCACTTCTTCAAACCGCTCGGTGATCATCTCTTCGACTTTTGAAAAATCGTTGGGATAGTAAAGTGCAATCCGAATACCGGCGAGATCGTGCATATCCCTCTCGATTTCCTCGACTTTCTCGTACCTCTGGGTGCGCTCAGCCTGCCGTCGGAGGATGGTTCGTCTGGCTGAATTCGGTGTTTTTGCCCCTCCTCCGTCCCAACCCTCGCTTCCCCGGTCGAAGAGCTCATGCTTAATATTGCGCCGACTCAGCTCGTCCCTCACGATTGTTTTGGCGAGTCGGGTCAGCTTTCCGTAGGCCAAGTATCCCCCCCTCGTGTACTCTTCTAGAAATTTGTTGATCACAGGACCTTCTGTTTGATCGGCCAGCTGCGCTCCTGTCCCTGTTTCGATTGCGCGGGATTCCATATCGAAGATATTGATGGGGGATTTAACGTGTTTTGTGGGCGAGAGAGCTCATGGACGTAGTCAGACAGTGGGCTTCTTGGCTGACGACGCTCGAAATTTGCGGCGACAGAGATCAAGAACTCATTTGGGGGCATAATACTATACGATGATGTGCCCCAAAGTGGTGTCCACCCTGGCTTCGAATGCCAGCCAGAATTTCCCTGTAACGAACCGGGGGGGAAAGACAAGTGCGCCTTCCTAATGACCTGTCATCCAACTTGGGGGGTCCTTGACCCAACTTTGGGGCGCATGCCTACGTATTCGCTAGTCCTTTTTGACATTAGAGAAGCATCGAGGCGTGCGATTTACCATTGGCGATAACTGTTGTTAGTACCTCGGTGTTGAGCCTCTGGACACCTTGGGGCACCATTCCAATCCGCGATTACTCAGCCACCATGTGTCCTATCATGATTGCACGACGCCAGCAACAAGATCCTTTTCGTCGTCCTGCAGAAGCTCTGCCTCCACCAGGCCAGGGGCCGAGTGCATATTTGTGACGCCACCGCGACATACGTACCCATGTTAACATGACAAACCGTATTGCGGCTCTGGGCCTGATTGCCAGCGCCGGCCACGAGCGAGAAATCATCAAGCTAAATGGAGACCGCTGCCACGTACCGAGAATTTGTGAGGTTTCGGCAACAGAGCAATCCGTGCGTGGCTGGGCTCTCACAGTTTCTAGAGAATGGCGACCTGCAACAAGATTCCTGTCGAATTTACTTGTCGGGCTGCGCTTCCCAGGTTTCGACAGGTTCCCAGAGCTTCGATCAAGTGTATCTGGACGACCTCCGCTCCATCCTTGCCACGCCGTTCAGCGCCGGTCCGGGGCGTATCATCCTCATTGAAGATCTTCACCCTTTAATCGTGGAGATACTAGGGACAGCTCTTGACATCGACCCAATATTCTTTGCCGACCACGTCGTGACGAATTACGCCGAGATCGAGAAGTCCCCGGCTCCTCCCTCAGTTGCCCTAGCTCCATCTCAGATTGCATCTCAAGCAGACAGGGTCAACATCCATTTCCAGCAGATTGTTGATCTCGGTGCCGAAGAGGGGTTTCGAAATTCTACGTGGATCTTCAACACGGCGGCAAATGTGCACCGCACCGTCAGGCGCCTACCGCCACTCTCTGGACGCCAGTTGGGCATCGCTCGGAGCTGTTGTTCGGTTTTGGTGAAACCATTTGGTCAGTCTTGGATCGGTAAGGTTTTCGAGACTTCCTTCCTCCTCAGAAGCAAAGAGAGTCAAGCAAGCATCTGACCGAGATTCGTCACAAGCATTGATCCTCGTTGACTCGACAACCTCTAACATGTCGTGCGGCGCAACTTCGTGCCACATCCGCAGATTCCCTCTCCATAATGGCACCGAAGATTTTCGGACGCCGATCCTGTTTTCTGCCTTTCAATCTCAGAGACATCGACTTGATCCTCCTTCCGCCTCCACGTCCCTGGTCCAAATCCTCCGGGACTGCTTTGTCGAGAGTCTGCCGACTTTCGAGCACGCCAAACCCAGCGTTCTGGATCTGGCGTACTACCCGCTGAGAATAGTGGTTGGCGAATGGATGTTATATAGCCAGGTCATGGCTCGGTATCTGGCGCACTACGAATACTCTTTCAAAGACATCGAGTTGGTTCTTCGCGGCGAGAGAGACGACATGATTGAACTCCAGAAATGGCGCCACCGCGCCATCCAGTCGCAGTTCAAGATCCAATCCACGAGACGGTTCGTCGCTTATTGTTTGGCTCGGAGCCCGGCCGAGAAGGAGCGCGGTCCGTGGGATTTGATCTTGAACGACTTGGACCACCTGTCTACCAAAATCGAAGTGTATGGCCAGTCGATGGAGCGGATGGTCTCGGTGGTGACATCAATGTTCCAGCTCATCGACTCCCGTCGGTCGATCGCCGAGGCTATCAATGTGAGACGGCTGACCATCGTCGCCCTTGTTTTTGTGCCCCTGTCGTGGGTCGCGAGCTTGTTCAGCATGACTGATGACTTTGCCCCGGGTCAGTCGAGGTTTTGGCTATATTTTGCTGTTGCCGTCCCACTTTGCGTCGCCATCGGCGCTTTCTCACTACTGGCAGAGTTCTAGTTGATCTCTAACCTTTCGATGCTCCTGGTTTAAGGCTCCTATTCGAGACTACAGGACCCAGATACACATGTCACGGGACGGCCAGGCCGAGGCCTAATGTTGTCGCCCACGCCCGCCAAAGCCGGATCTCTGGCGCCCGTCTTGTGGAGGAGTGCATGTCTAAGAGCTAGACTATCTCGCGGCCATCCAGTGATATATACGCGGGAATCCTAATCTCGTCACTACATCTTAAGCCGAGACTTTCTGACAATTGGCTCGTCCTAAACTCTGGGATACTTTCTTTGGGCGAGATGACTCACTGGTCTTGGGGCATAGTTGTTGAACTTGGGAGGGGGTGTATGCGTGTCTGAGGCTGGTTTTAAAACTGCGCTCATACTACGAAACTACTGCTCATGAAGCCCCACGAATGTTAATCCCAAGGAGAAAATAAAGAGTGTGAGTGATGAAATGATATATATATTTGATTAAGAATAAAACATCCTTCCAATCCCAAATACCCGGTACCCTGTGTGTATGGCATGTATATGGCATACACCGACATGGTACGGTATGAGATGATGGTATAGATGGCATGATGTACTGTATCTCTCTTTGTGACCGGGTTGATTTCGTAAAACCCAATTCATTTCCCTTCCAACCCCACCCACGCCCACGCCGTGCACCAAAAAGAAAGTAGTAGGGAAAAAGTAATTGAAAAAATGAAGAACCAAAAGAAGAAAAAAACACTCCCTTGTCGTCGCCGCCGCCGCCGCCGTCGTCATGTAGCGTATGGATGTACATACATATTAGTCCAGATTATCCATCGCGCGCGGTGCCATCTGATATCGTCCGTCTGTCCGTCTGTCCGTCTGTCCGTCTTTCCGTCCGTGATTAAAAACTCGATTTCGAATCGACGTCGAAGTCGAGATGTGATGTGATATGATCATCCCATAACCTATGAGTTCATCCCTGGGGAATCTAGATAACCTACCTATGCATAGATAGGTAGGTTTGTCCTAGACTGGTAGGTGAAAAGTTAGAGGGGAGAAAGGGAGGCAGGATTGAATGATCTAGTACTGCCAGCCCGCGCCCCAAAGGCTCGCACCCACAGCCTCCTCGGTCGCGTTGCCCGAGATGGCGTCGGACCGTTTCGCGAGGCCTCCGCCACAGCCGACGGCGCAGTACGAGAAACCACAGCAGTTGTTGTCGAGAATACAGATGGATCCGAGGCAGTCGTCGTCAGTGGTACACCCGACGGCCGAGGGGCATTCAACGTTTTCGAGACAGAGCGAGAGTCCCAAGATGCTGCCGAAGCAGAAGCATGAGTCGCTGCCGCCGCAGGTGCCGAAGACGCCGCATTCACCTGGGGTGTTGCATGTTGGGGCGGCGGGGGCGGAAGATGTCGTTGTGGTCGTGCTGCTGGTGGTGCTGGTGCCGCTGGTGGTTGTGGTCTCAGACGTGGTGCTGGTTGTCTCAGACGACGTGGTGGAGGTCGCAGACGAAGACGTGGTCGACTGAGGCCCGTTCGATGAGGTAACCTCTGATGAAGTTGTCGACGTGTCAGACGAAGTGGTCGTCGTAGTCTCGGGCGTCGTGGTGGTAGTTTCAGACGAAGTGGTGGATGTGATCAGTGTTGATGTTGTGGTAGGAACAGTGGTCGTGGTCGAGCTTGCAGCGGAGCTGGAAGTAGAGCTGGAGGTCGAGCTCGTGTTCAGGATTGGGCCCGTGTCCGAGCTCGAGCTTGAGCTCGTGCTTGAGGACTCGCTGGTCGAGCTCGTGGCTCCACTCGTGGTCGTGCTGGTGCTCAAAGTGGAGCTTGTGCTCGAGCCCGTGCTTGATGTCTCGCTGGTGCTCGAGGTTTCGCTCGTGGCAGAGCTGGAAGTCGAGCTGGAAGTCGAGCTTGTGTTCAGAATCGGGCCGGTGTCCGAGCTTGAGCTCGTGCTTGTGCTTGAGGATCCACTCGTGCTAGAGGTCTCACTGGTAGCAGTAGTCGTGGTCATGGTCGAGCTTGTAGCAGAGCTGGAAGTCGAGCTCGTGTTCAGAATCGGGCCAGTATCCGAGCTCGAGCTCGTGCTTGTGCTCGAGGTTTCACTGGCAGCAGTGGTCGAGGTCGAGGTTTCGCTGGTTGTGGAGCTTGTGGAACTCGTGTTCAGGATCGGGCCGGTGTCCTGGCTCGAGGTTGAGGTTTCGCTCGAGGTCGTCGTCGTCGTCTCCGAAGTGAACGAGGTAGTAGTGTCAGTGCTGGTGGTGGTTCCAAGGATGGGGCCTCCAGTGCTAGAAGAGGTCGAGGTCACTGCGCATGGCGTCGGTGTCTGGATGCAAGAGCAAAACGTCGAGATGGCACTCGCCGGACCAGCCATGATAGCTGACCATAGTCGCGCATCATAGTCGACAGGCGAAGGTGTTGGCGAAGGCTGGTTGGGATAGCCGGGGTTATTGGGGTTGTTGGGGTAGTTGGGATAGCTAGGTTGGCCCCTGTTGCCGCCGTAGGCAGGCGCAGGCTGACCCCGGTTACCGCCGTAGACGGGCGCAGGTTGGCCCCGGTTACCGCCATAGACGGGTGCGGGCTGACCGCGGTTACCGCCATAAACAGGCGCAGGCTGACCCCGGTTGTTGGAGTAGTAGACAGGCTGGCCCCGATTGCCCCGGAACGGGAAAGCCCTGCGGCGGTTGGCGGCCTCGATGGTACATGTTGGGGGATAGATGGCCGCGCAGTAGTCCTGGGCCGGGGAGTAGTCAGCTAGTTCGGTGTAGACGCTGTTGGAGCAGACATCAGTTGGGACGGCGATGGTCAGAGACACGCAGGAGAGGAAGGACAAGAGAGTGATCAAAAGAGTGGACGGAGAAGATCCCCAAGTCGCCATTGTGAGCTGGCGTGTGTTTTTTCGAAGAAAAGATACAAAAGAGTGTATGTTGGTGAGATGAAGAGAAGAAATGTTCCTACCTGGGCATGGGCTCTGGACATTAATATACCATCATGGGCATACCGTGGACAGCACTCTGAGGGCTCATAACATTGACGTCGTGGACCCAATACCAACGATACTACGATGAAGCTGTTTGTTGTTTGTTTCCATCAATACCCATTGTAGATCAGTATGATTGTTTATGATGGGCAGGCTGAGCAGATGAGGTGAATGAATCTACTGGGTGAATCGATATAAGCTTTTAAAGTCAGTGCCAAGGCTAAACTGTTCCGTGTTCGGGATAGTAACGTCTAGTATCGATGATCTAGCGCGTATCCCCCATACCAAGATTAGATAGTGTGAAGACTGTGGGGCAACTCCGCTTTTGCTATTGGCTGTAACGCCACAAAATAATCTCCACCACAATCAAGATCGACAGAACGGGTCAGGGGTTGTCGAAATAGGGAGCCCCCGATCCGGGGCACGGCTTGTACCGTTGGACCAAATCCCCCGGTCTGCTGGTTACCTTTGAGTTAGACTAATACAACAACACACGCTCTGCTCACATGCCACACCGGATGGTGTATCCGCGCCCAGTCAAAAAGACAGCAGAGAGAGTGAATTCACTCCACATGCAGTAAAGTGTTTTGTCCCACCCCTCCCTCCGGCGAAAGTTTGCGAGCTCAGTGGCAATAAATAGTATGCACGAACAAATGAGAAGAGTGTGGTGAGACTGATCCGATCCCGGGTTTCGCCATCAACTAACAAAGTCCCTCACTGAGCCCAGGAGCCTCGTTTCGAGTCGAGGATCGACAACGCTTTCCCTGGCCAAGGCTTTGTCTGTTTGGATTTCGACAAGGCAGAATGAGGCTGAATTTATCCCACCCATTAGTTTTGTTTCCTTGACACACCTAAAACACTGGCCATCTCTTTGAGAATCCCCAACGGGCAGCAATCTTACCCTTTTCAGCTACTTGTCAACATTGCTGAAGGTGCACTACATGGGCGCAGATTATGGCTGGTACTTTGCATCTTGACAAGATTAATCAATACTTGGTACACAGGTGATTTGCGGCTGACCCCGCCGGACCTTTTCGGAGGGATACTGGGTATCAGCCTCGTGTCTTGTTGTTCTGGAAGAGGGCCACGCCTCGAGTTCGGGAAGAGATTGCTCGCGTTCATCTTGGCGCCTTATTTTGACGAAATGCATGCCCATTTCACTCCAGTGTCCGCTGGAGTACATACAATGAGAACGTTCGGAGTGGAAACATGTCTCCCTCTGCCTGGTAGTTTATTGATACCGATCACATGATTACCCCTGGTGCAATTCATGGCCTGACATTTTCAACAATCCATGCCTGGATGCCTCTGGAAGTCCAACTGTGTTTGCAACGAAACAACGCCAACGGACCGTTACATCCGTCATTCGAGTCTGACAGTCTCAAGAAGTCGATCTGTCAACAATCATCGTGATCTTCGGAACTAGCCACGACGGTCGCGGTCTTGCCAACTCGTCGACCTGATGGTGGAGGTCGTATCGATCTGATAGGTATTCCGGAGCGTTGTGTCATGTTGTTACTGGTAATCTCCCACCGTTCGCGAATGGGATGTGAAGACTGCAGCCATCTTGCTCAACCATTAGGTTGTCGTCCTCGAGCGAGTCGCTTGCGTCTCTGTTTATTGTCCAGGGAATATGCCGGCGTCGTGGCAGAATAAGAAGGACGGGGTCTGGGCCTCATGATTGGTGATGGGTTCGGCTTCTTCGGAGCATAGCCTCAATGGTTAGCCTGGACGTCGTGATGTGATGCGACCTCCTGCCTATGCCAATCTGGAACAGTAATCACATCCAGCTCGTGGAGATGTAGTTTCCGCCAAAGCCTCAACAGAAATTGCCACCGCTGGTCTCTTAGTATTGCTCGTATGCACCGGCTTTTTCCTCCTAACTCGTGGAGCGTATGGGTTTTGCGCCATTGAGGGGAGCTGAGTGGTGGTTAGTGGCTCGCTTGCATGAAAGGTGACCTCCGATCAGGTATCCCGAATGTCGATCCTCGTGACTGCTTGAAATAGTTCCTTAGTTAGCCACGCTCGCAAAAAAAATCCCCGCCGCAATAATGGCTTTGCACAATTGGTGGCCAATTCCAGCGCCCAGCTGGATAGAATCTCAAGCCACGCTTGCCTGCAAACGCCTCAATTTTCCCGTCCTTTCCGAGATTGGCGTGTCTCTTGTTGTGGTAGGCCATGGTCGAGAGCCACGACGATCTGAGGCGGATCACAAATCCGCGTGGCGCCAATGGACATGAACTTGAGGGTGAATTTCCATGAATTGTCGTGGCTGATACATTGCGACTACCTTACGCTGGACAGCCATTTCCATTAGAGTCTGAGGCAGTTTTGCCCTTTGGAGGAGGTCGCAAGGGAGGATTATATTCACTCTAGAAAGATAGAGATTAGGTCGAGCGCGGGCGGTCGTGCTTTGCGAGCGGGAGTACAGGAGGCACACAGCGAGGGATCGCTTGGTGGTGCTCATGTTCCTTATCCGGCAGGCAGCCTATAAGTTGATACACATTTTCGTCAAAATTCGGACGTCCAGCTCCTGTATCACCGTCAGAGGCAGGGTAACTGATTCGCCAGTCGATGTATTAGACATTGAGACATGCTCGTCCTCGCTGCGTTGTACTCACTGAATTCCGCATTCGGAAAGGGAAGCCCTTGACGAAATAGGAAATACCTCGCCAAGGCTGAGAACAAGGCCCACGCTGATTGGCTGAGAGCATCTCTGTCCCAATCCGGAAGAGCCGACACGATTCATCACTCACCTATGTAACTAGCCATGCAAGCGACCCAATTCAACCATTGAGGCTGGCTGCTTAGGCTACAATACCTGTATCATTACTCATCACAGTCAATACAGCATAGCATATAACCAAAAGTCCCCAAGGAGATGCACATAACATATGGCTGCCGACTGTACTTTTGCGCCAGTCTCATCTGCATGATACACTCTGCCTCCATGCGAGCGTCCACGTAGCGGTCTAGAAAAGCCGGTGTGTCGCTTATTGCTCCAGTAGATAATCTCGTGCTGCCTACTCGATGGGGCGTGTGAGCTAGCATGGTTTGGTTGGGCATCATAGAGGTAGGTCTACTTCGTTTTTCGAGGAAGTTTGGGAAAATAATTAAATTTTTGAAAATAAATATTTTATTTCCCCAACCACAAATTGTTACGAAGCACAACTCAACTTCTTCCCACCAATAATACCAACACTAGAAAAAATGATTCTGACACATCATCTCGGGAAGATGACATGTCTACTCGTAGGTAAAAACTGCCGAAGCTGATAGTGCAGTATGCCTGGCTCTGCTGCGAAGCCAGGTAAATAAATCCAGCCATGCCCGCAACTCTTCCGCGAGCTCCTCGACTCGGCTGTTGAAAGCGTCAGTACACCGCCACTTTTCGCTGCCACGTTTCTCAAATACAGAAGAAGATGACGTCGCGCGTGCTTTGAGCCCTTTTCACCGGGAGCTGGCACCTCACATACGATTCAAAACATTGGATTCGTCTTATATCCCACGCTTCGGCTTCGGCCTCGGCAGCGGCAGTGGTGGCGGTGGCAGATCCGTGACTTGTACTAGGTAGGACCTAGCCAGTGAAACGACCCCTGTTTGACATACGCAAAGAAAAAAACGAGTGGAACTGAGCAGTTTCGCAAGACCCTGACGGACGACTCGGAAGCACTTCCCAAGAAACAGGGCCGGTTTCCTCGAGCTACTCGCAACTACAAATCTATCGATTCTACCACGGAGGTAAATAGCCTAATATGTCTCTGGGATATTTTCCCTGTTTTTCGTGGGTGGCAGAACAAACTGCCGGATTCAAGATCCCCAGAAGATCGAAAGGAGCTGACGGCTCATTCGTTTCCTCACGACCGACCCTTGCCTTGCATACGTTGATGTGGTCAGACCGATGTATTTACCCCGTCTTCTCGTGAATCTCGTCCACATGGGTGACCTCGACACCGAACCCATGGTCCCCGCCTTTTCTGGAAGCGCCGATCTCGGTAATGTCCCCCACACCGATGGCATCGGTGGCCTTTTGTTTGATCTCCTCGACGGCGTCGGCGCCGTCAAACGTCCGGTTGATCTCCTCGAGGGTGGCACCGCGGGTCTCGATGAAGAAGAAATACACGGTGACGAGCTGGATGATCAGCCACCCCTCAAAAAAGAAGTAGAACTTCCAGCTGCCGGCGGCGATGCCGATGGGGATGATGTACTGAGACAGGGCCAGGCAGATGTTGGTGGCGAGGCCCTGCATGAAGAGGCCGTTGGCGCGGATCTTGAAGCTCAGGATCTCAAGAGGGTAGCCGATGTTGAGGGAGATCCTGGTGGGGCACAATAAGTCAGTGAAGGTCGAGGAAGAAATTGTCTCCGGGGGAAAAAATGGCAACCTACCAGGCAAAATTGTAGAAGAAATTGTGGAAGAAAATCATGGCGATGACACCCTTTCCGAATCCAACTTGCTTCGGATGCTGGAGCTGGGACGCCGTCAAGGCAATCCAGATGGCGAACGTGCAGCACATGCCGCTCGAGGCAATCAGGAAGAGCGGACGACGGCCGAACCGGTCGACCATGCACGCCCAGAACCAGGCTTCGAACATGTTGACCATCAGGATGAAGCCGTTGAGCATGTTCTGGTAGTTTGGGCTGTCGATTCCGATGTTTTGAAGGATGTTGTGCAGGTAATATGCCGTCAGGCTGGTGCCGGAAAATTGAGAGAAGACGCCGCAGCAGAGGCAGATGAAGACGCGGTAACGGTTGCCACCTGAAGGAGAGAAAGTTGGTTAGAGCAATGCGACGTCTTATTCCCTGGAACAGTTATTACTCACGGGTCCTAAACAACTCGGACCAGCGACCCTTTTGTTCGCCCTGGCTGATCGAAGCCTTCATCTCGGCATATTCAAAGC